GGGGTGACACTGACTGATTCTGGGGTGACACAGTAATTTCGGGGTGACACTGACTGATTTCGGGGTGACACTGACTGATTTCGGGGTGACACTGACTGATTTTGGGGTGACACTGACTGATTCTGGGGTGACACAGTAATTTTGGGGTGACACAGTAATTTCGGGGTGACACTGACTGATTCTGGGGTGACACTGACTGATTCTGGGGTGACACAGTAATTTCGGGGTGACACTGACTGATTCTGGGGTGACACAGTAATTTCGGGGTGACATTGACTGATTTCGGGGTGACACTGACTGATTTCGGGGTGACACAGAGATTCTGGGGTGACACTGACTGATTCTGGGGTGACACAGTAATTTCGGGGTGACACTGACTGATTTCGGGGTGACACAGAGATTCTGGGGCCAGCCCCTCACCCTGGCGTTGGCGTGGGCGATCAGCTTGTCCAGGTTCTTGAACCACAGGTGAGCGTTCTCGTAGTGGAAGTCGGAGCCCATCGTCATCAGGATGTGCTGGGTCCGGTACTGCTGGGCCTGGGGAGGGGGACACGGCTCGGGACCCCCGCCCGGGCCACAGGGACACCCGGGGACACCCGGGAACCCCAGCCTGGGGACAGGGACACGCAGATATTCCATCCCTGGGGGACAGGGAGACCCACAAATCCCACCCTGGGGACAGGGACACCCGGGAACTCCAGCCTGGGGACAGGGACACACAGGGACACCCACAGATCCCATCCTGGGGGACAGGGACACCCTTTCCCCCCCATCCCAGGGGACAGGGACACCCAGGAATTCCATCCCTGGGGGACAGGGACACCCACAAATCCCACCCTGGGGACAGGGACACCCAGGAATTCCATCCCAGGGGACAGGGACACCCACAGATCCCACCCTGGGGGACAGGGACAATCGGGAATCCAATCCCAGGGGACAGGGACATGCAGAAATTCCATCCCTGGGGGACAGAGACACCTGGGAATCCCACCCTGGGGGACAGGGACCCCCTTTTCCCCCACCCTGGGGACAGGGACACCCACAAATCCCACCCTGGGGGACAGGGACCCCCTTTTCCCCCACCCTGGGGACAGGGACACCCACAGATCCCACCCTGGGGACAGGGACACCCTTTCCCCCCCATCCCAGGGGACAGGGACACCCACAGATCCCACCCTGGGGACAGGGACACCCACAAATCCCACCCTGGGGACAGGGACACCCACAAATCCCACCCTGGGGACAGGGACACCCACAGATCCCACCCTGGGGGACAGGGACCCCCTTTTCCCCCACCCTGGGGACACAGAGACCCTTGTGGCCAGGGACCCCCACCCCCTCAGGGCTCCCCCCGGGGGTCCCGGCCCCGTTTTTGCCCTGCCAGGACCTGCGTGGCCGCCGCCTGCAGGAAGGAGGTGACCACCGAGTCCACGTTGCGCTCGGGGCCGTCCCCGTCCACCACGGGGGGGTCACTGCAGAGCTGGTCCCAGCACAGCCCCGCGGGGGGGTTGTACACGTTGGGCAGGATCCCTGGGGACAGCCGTGTCACCTCCCTGGCCACGGGGGACAGGGGGACAGGGGGGACAGGGGACACAGCCAGGGACAGGGGACACAGCAGGGGGGTTGTACACGTTGGGCAGGATCCCTGGGGACAGCCGGGACAGCCGTGTCACCTCCCAGGCCAGGGGGGACAGCAGGGTCAGTTTTGGGGGTCCCAGGGTCAGTTTGGGGGGGTCCCAGGGTCAGTTTTGGGGGGTCCCAGGGGGTCCCAGGGTCAGTTTGGGGGTCCCAGGGCAGTTTTGGGGGGTCCCAGGGCAGTTTTGGGGGTCCCAGGGCAGTTTTGGGGGGTCCCAGGGCAGTTTTGGGGGTCCCAGGGCAGTTTTGGGGGGTCCCAGGGCAGTTTTGGGGGTCCCAGGGCAGTTTTGGGGGGTCCCAGGGCAGTTTTGGGGGTCCCAGGGCAGTTTTGGGGGGTCCCAGGGCAGTTTTGGGGGTCCCAGGGCAGTTTTGGGGGGTCCCAGGGCAGTTTTGGGGGTCCCAGGGCAGTTTTGGGGGGTCCCAGGGCAGTTTTGGGGGTCCCAGGGCAGTTTTGGGGGGTCACCAGTGAAGATGTCAGCCCGGGGGGGCTCCAGGCTGTCGCTGCCCCTCCAGATCAGCTCCAGCTCCCGGCGCCGCAGCCGCTGCCGCTTGTCCTGGTGGTCCACGCGCCCCAAAAACAGCCCGTCGTACCCCATCTGGGGGGACAGGGGGTCAGGGGGTCCCCAAAACCCCAAAAACACCCCAAAAACACCCCAAAACAGCCCGTCATA